ACATTATTAATTTATGCTGGGATAACACTTTGTAGTCATCAAGATGAACAATTTAGATATTTTTTTTTATTATCTAGGTTTAAAAAGCTTCTTTTTAAAATTTGTATTGAATAACACTTTTCAAAAACCCTGGTGCTCAGTCACCGATGACAGGAATATTATGAATAGGTATCATTAGATAATTAATAAAGGACTCTTCATCATGAAATAGTGTTACATTGTATATTGTTACATTGCAATTGCAATGACGAATATTTTGTATTATTATTGCTAATGTACTTTTCTATTGTATATAGTGTTGATTATAACATGCCGCCTAACCCACTGGTTGACGTGCCTGGTTTTGTGTATGCATGATCTCTAACAAAGACTTGATTTATCACCATCAAAGTCAAATTGGTTATGACTTTTTAATTAGGAGCTACCAAAGTTTGGTTATCATGCTATGTCGTCAACGTAACGTAATTTAACTTTCCATTGATATAAAATTGTATTCTCATCGGAAAGTTTCAATTCTGAAATTGAAGAGGGTCAATAAAAACCAGAGTGAAACTAAAAGTGGGTGTGTTACTTTCAAGATTACAATGAATAATTACTCACTCACACACAAAAACAAACGCATAGACACACACACACACGCACGCACACACTCACGCACGCGCACATACACACACACACACACACACACACACACGCATAGGTAGCCTTTTCTCGTAGTTGAAAATTAATTGAGAAAACAGACCTATAATCTGATCTTCTATCTCCTTTTTCCTGGTTACTCAGTGTCAAACGTTAATGTCATTGTATAATCATACTGGTCATAACCTGTTTCATTTTCTAATTCTTGAACGAGATCAAGTTTGATAAAATGCCAGAAATGTTATCGTCGTCGTTCCACAGCCAGACATTCTACCATCTATTTTTACAAGTTCAGCTTTTTATCGCTCTAATATTCTTATTTCTAATCGTTTCTATGCCCTTGGATGAGCATGTAGAATGTAAAATCATCCGGTGCTTGACTCATCCCTCTCTACATTCCATTCCGCATTTTTCTTTTCTTCTCGAAATGAAAGAGTTTAATACTTTGGCTAGTTGGAAAGAGATAATACGACAGGAAGCCTCTATTACTTCGTGACTCCTATTTCGTTACAAAACTGAATAACAGAGAGAATACGATTCATGGATTGTACTGTGTACACAAGTCATGCACAATGGTACTCACTTCAGTATTTGAAGCGGTGCAAAAACGGGGAGACCCCCCCGAATATTAACTCTTAGAATACCAGGCAGAATAATGTATGTGTTTTACGTGCATGGTCTGTATAAAACAGCTTTAATGGCACAGTATGGGTTATCGTGACAAAATTATGCGTGAAACCACGTCTAATCATGCAAAAAAACTCAATTGATCTACAATAGACTTGAAAGGTGTTTTGCACTCTTTCCAAACAATGAACATATTTTCCTTTCGTGATGGGATCATAATAAAGTACGGTAACCCTGTATTGATATGCAACATACATCACATAAGCGGAGAATATAAATCAAGTCTACAAGGCTGAAGCTGAATATATCGGGATCTGGCAAAAGGGAAAAAAAAGGTGTGTTCTTCTAAAATCGTCAAAATTAAAAATCACTTTCAAAATTCCTTATTTACTAGAGCACAGGTCTTTCCCAATGTAATGTATGTAACCGATCTTACCATTGAAGTAAAAAGCTGGCTAAGGCAATAGTTTGCTACAGGGACAACAATAATTGTCCATGACTTTACGAACGCATCTATTATATCTTATGTATTGTACGCGGTCATATTTTTAAACGAGGCAATGTCGTGATAACCTCAGTGTCATCTCATATGACATTTAATTTAATAACCAAATCGACTTATACTGCTCCATGACAGCCAAAACCTGGGCCCAGATATCTAATTATAATGATAGAATACACATGTTCAGTCAACTAAGGAATATTTTTTGTCCAATGTAATATATTTAATCGTGTCTGCCTAACGTCGTAGAAAAATATACAATGGCACCTAAAAGGGAAGTGTTTTATGGGTCAGGCTATTCCATGACCCATGTGTAAAAACAAATGCTATTTAAGAGATTTTGCTGTAGCTAGGCTTCTTCCTACTAAATACGAAACTGATTAAACCGTTCACCCTAAAGGGGGTGAAGGGGGGGGGGGCGTTTTGATCCCTACTTGGAATTAAGTTTCACATAATTCTGTTTCTTTTCTTGCTGTCTCCATTCGTTGCTTAATTATGCATCGTGGCAAATATTGATCAATATTGACAAACTCATGTGTACCTAAATCCAATGAAGCAGGTTAACATTCTCAGAAGAGCGACAAGGCGACTAGGCCTACCTGGTAGATGTGACTGGGACTTAGAATTAACAGGGACTTTTAGATTGAGTGGACGAGAATACGACGAACGCCGACTGATCATGCGTGTCAACGTACTCAACTGCCTATGTTGACTACAATTAGAAATCTTTTAGATTGCACTCGACGATAAACATACATGCAGGAAGTAACACTATGAACATGACGGACAATGAAAGAGGACAGAATATACAGTTCCTCATTCTACCCTCAACAATTGCTGTGGTAGACAAAAGAACATCCTTTCACTGCTATTATGTAAAAATGTGTAGAACAGGTAAATATGCATGTGACACCTGTTCTACACATTTTTACATAATAGCAGGGAAGGGATGTTCCTTTGTCTACCTGAGGAACTGTATATTTTATGCGCACGCGGCATATACTAGTACTGTACTAGATTTAGGAAAATCAAGGTTGACGCATTCTCGATCGCCGACTGAGACGACGTGACGCATGCGCCGTGCCTTAAAATGACGTCATACGTTGCAGTCAAAGCTGTCGACGTGCAAATCTAAAAGTTCCTATTTAGAGCACTTCACCACGTTAAAGGTAAAGACCAGTATTGGAAACGCCCCAATTTCAAAAAATGAAATGGAAGCTCTCATTACCAATCATGTGAAAGAATATGTTTTGACTAATACATGATGATAAAAAAATTGCCGGAAAACCGCCTACTAATTCATATATTTGGTAAATTTGTTTCTCTCATGGTCTGTGAGAGATATAGGGTAGTCCCATATACATCTTTCTGTGTATAGTGCTTGTAACTTTATGAAGAATGGGCCAAATTTCTTATCATTTTCATGATTCCAGAACCTTGCAGATGCTAGATGCTAGATGATCAACCTTTTCTGATTGATTCCACAACGTTTCTTTCACAATGCAATCGCATGACCATAACTGGTCTTTACCTTTAACTTCTTTTCAAAACTTTGTAAAAGTGTATTTTGCTGAGACATGCACGTTTCAATGGACTGCAATGCAATGGATAAATACTTTTGACTGGAAATAATTCACCATCATCATTACCTCCATTACCGTGATCGCCATAATCATTAAATTGCTGTACCTTCCTTCGTCGTCGTTACCATTATAATCATTACCATACTTCGTGCCATAATCAGCGTGAATATTTGCCTTGATCATAAGTGATTCAATTATAAAAGGATAGGAATCCGCGTCCTCCACGTGTAGTTAGTACTCTAATAATGTTGTAATGAAAAAGGTCATTAGAGGGCGAAATATCAGTGCTGCTTTAACACAAATTGTGTCACAAAACATGTTAAAAACGTCGACTGTTTCTCCTTCGTTGGTCAAAACTATTTCCCTCCTTGAAAATGTTTCTACGTACGCGTAGTTTCATGTGAATGTATGTCTCCGTGAAAAGACGAACCTTATAAACGTTCCTACCCTTTTATTTTATAGTAAAGAGGAAGGAGGGATGCACTCGCTTTATATATTTATTGAAATGTTGATGGCCGCTGATTGATGATGCAAAAGATAAAGAGAGAAGCCTAACACTGGAATAGGAATGACAGATATTTTGATTACGTTGAACATTTGCATTACGATTTAGTTCACTGCACAGGACTTTGGAATTTGGAATTGCGTTTATGAATTTGAAGAAGAAGAAATAATAAGTTTAGTGTACACTTAGGCTCTTAACGTGCGAAACGCAACCGGACTATCTGCTACAAAAGATTTAGATTATTAATCCTAACGTTTCCATTTCAAAGTCGTGTGTAATGGGAGAAGTAGATGATTACGAGGAACTGAGCTAGATTAGGATGTCTGGCAAGCCGGTGCTTCTTCAAGTATGGAGGACATTAATCAACAGCTTCATGAGGCATCATTGAGGGGTAAAATCAAAAGCGTCAAAACACTGCTTAAAAGGGGTTCTAACATAAACCACACAGACCAAGATGGAAACACAGCCTTACACACGGCGGTCCTGTATGGCCAGGAGAACGTCAGCAAGTATCTCATTAAACATGGAGCTGAGGTGAATAAGGGAGATAATGAAGGTAAGACAGCATTACAAAGTGCTGCTCTAGAGGGTCACCTTAAAATCACCAACTATCTCATCAGTAAAGGTGCTGAGGTGAATAAAGGAGATAATGCAGGTTCTACTACATTACACAGAGGTGCTCAGAATGGACATCTTGATGTCACCAAATATCTCCTCAGTCAAGGAGCTGAGGTGAATAAAGAAGACAATGACGGTTGGACTGCTTTACACAGAGCTGCTGAGAATGGTCATCTTGATGTCACCAAATATCTCCTCATTCAAGGAGCTGAGGTGAATAAAGAAGACAATGACGGTTGTACTGCTTTACACAGAGCTGCTCAGAATGGTCATCTTGAAGTCATTAAATATCTCATCGGTCAAGGAGCTGAGGTGAATAATGAAGATAATAACGGTCGGACTGCATTATACAGTGCTGTTCACAATGGTCATCTTGATGTCACCAAGTATCTTATCAGTAAAGGAGCTGAGGCGAATAAGGGAGATAAGGACGGTTGGACTGCATTACACCTTGCCGCAATCAAGGATCATTTTGATGTCACGAAATATCTCCTCAGTAAAGGAGCTGAGGTGAATAAAGGAGATAATGGCGGATGGACTGCATTACATAGTGCTGCCCGGAAAGGTCATCTTGAAGTCACCAAATATCTCATCAGTCAAGGAGCTGAGGTGAATAAAGGAGGTATTGATGGTCGTACTGCATTACTAAGTGCTGCTCTGGAAGGTCATATTGATGTCATCACATATCTCCTCAGTAAAGGAGCTGAGGTGAATAAAGGAGATCATGACGGTTGGACTGCATTACAAAGTGCTGCTCACAATGGTCATCTTGATGTTACCAAATATCTCATCAGTCAAGGAGCTGAAGTGAATACGAAAGATAATACAGGTTTGACTGCATTACACAGTGCTTCTAAGAATGGTCATCTTTATGTCACCAAATATCTCATCGGTCACGGAGCTGAGGTGAATAAAGAAGATGATAAAGGTCGGACTGCATTACACATTGCTGATCATAAGGGTCATCATGATGTTACCAGATATCTCATTAGCCAAGAAGCTGAGATGAATGGGGGAGATAATGACAATTGTACTGGATTACACAGTGCTGCTATTAAGAATGGTCATTTTGATGTCACCAAATATCTTATCAGTCAAGGAGCTGAAGTGAATAATGGAGATAATGAAGGTCGGACTGCATTACACATTGCCGCAATCAAGGATCATCTTGATGTCACTAAATATCTCATCAGTCAAGGAGAAGAGGTAAATGGGGGAGATAATGTCGGTTGGACTGCATTACACAATGCTGCTCACAATGGTCATCTTGATGTCGCCAAATATCTCATCAGTCAGGGAGCTGACGTGAATAGGGGAGATATTGACAGTTGGACCGCATTACACAGTACAGCTCATCAAGGTCATCTTGATGTCACTAAATATCTCATCAGTCAAGGAGCTGAGGTGAGTAGGGGAGATAATGAAGGTTCTACTGCATTACACAGTGCTGCTCATAATGGTCATCTTGATCTCACCAAATATCTCATCGGTCAAGGAGCTGTGGTGAATAAAGAAGATAATAAAGGTCGACCTGCATTACACAGTGCTGTTCAAAATGGTCATCTTGGTGTCACCAAATATCTCATTAAACATGGAGCTGAGGTGAATAAAGGAGATAATAGAGGTTCTACTGCATTACAAAGTGCTGCTCATAATGGTCATCTTGATGTCACCAAATATCTCATCGGTCAAGGAGCTGAGGTGAATAAAGAAGATAATAAAGGTCGGACTGCATTAAACAGTGCTGATCAAAATGGTCATCATGATGTCACCAAATATCTCATCAGCCAAGGAGCTGAGATGAATAGGGGAGGTAATGACAATTGGACTGCATTACACAGTGCTGCTAAGAATGGTCATCTTGATGTCACCAAATATCTCATCAGCCAAGGAGTACAGGTGAATAGGGGTATTAAGGACGGTTCTACTGCATTACATAGTGCTGCCCAGAATGGTCATCTTGATGTCACTAAATATCTCATCAGTCAAGGAGCTGAGGTGAAGAAGGGAGATAATGATGGTTGTACTGCATTACAAAGTGCTGCTTATTATGGTCATCTTGATGTCACCAAACAACTCATCAGTCAGGGAGCTGAGGTAAATAATGGAGATAATGAAGGTCGGACTGCATTACACCTTGCCGCAATGAAAGATCATCTTCAAGTCACTAAATATCTCATCAGTCAAGGAGCTGAGGTGAAGAAGGGGGATAATGATGGTTCAACTGCATTACAAAGTGCTGCTTATTATGGTCATCTTGACGTCACCAAACATCTCATCAGTCAAGGAGCTGAGGTAAATAATGGAGATAATGAAGGTCGGACTGCATTAGTCCTTGCCGCAATCAAGGATCATCTTGAAGTCACTAAATATCTCATCAGTCAAGGAGCTGAGGTGAATAAAGGAGGTATCGATGGTCGTACTGCATTACTAAGTGCTGCTCTGGAAGGTCATCTTGATGTCACCACATATCTCCTCAGTAAAGGAGCTAAGGTGAATAAAGGAGATAATGACGATTGGACTGCATTACAAAGTGCTGCTCACAATGGTCATCTTGATGTCACCAAATATCTGATCGGTCAAGGAGCTGAGGTGAAGAAGGTAGATAATGATGGTTCTACTGCATTACAAAGTGCTGCTTATTATGGTCATCTTCATGTCACCAAATATCTCATCAGTCAAGGAGCTGAGGTGAATAATGGAGATAATGAAGGTCGGACTGCATTACACCTTGCCGCAAAGAAGAATCATCTTGAAGTCACTAAATATCTCATCAGTCATGGAGCTGAGGTGAAGAAGGGAGATAATGATGGTTCTACTGCATTACAAAGTGCTGCTTATTATGGTCATCTTGATGTCACCAAACATCTCATCAGTCAAGGAGCTGAGGTAAATAATGGAGATAATGAAGGTCGGACTGCATTACACCTTGCCGCAATCAAGGATCATCTTGAAGTCATTAAATATCTCCTCAGTCAAGGAGCTGAGGTGAATAAAGGAGATAATGACGGCCGGACTGCATTACACATTGCTGATCATGAGGGTCATCTTAATGTCACTAAATATCTCATCGGTCAAGCAGTTGAGATGTATAGGGGAGATAATGACAACCAGACGGCATTACACGATGCTACTAAGAATGGTCATCTTGATATCACCAAATATCTCATCGGTCAAGGAGTAGAGGTGAATTGGGGAGATAATGACGGTTGGACTGCATTACACAGTGCTGCCCAGAATGGTCATCTTGAAGTCACTAAATATCTCATCAGCCATGGAGCTGTGGTGAATAGGGGAGATAATGAAGGTCGGACTGCATTCCGATGTGCAGCATATAATGGTCATCTTGATGTCACCAGGTATCTCATCAGTCAAGGAGCTGAGGTAAATAGGGGAGATAAAGACGGTTGGAATGCATTAACAAGTGCTTCTCAGAATGGTCATTTTGATGTCACCAAATATCTCATCACTCAAGGAGCTGAGGTGAATAGGGGAGATAATGACAATTGGACTGCATTACACAGTGCTACTAAAAATGGTCATCTTGATGTCACCAAATATCTCATCAGTCAGGGAGCTGACGTGAATAGGGGAGATATTGACAGTTGGACCGCATTACACAGTGCAGCTCATAATGGTCATCTTGATGTCACTAAATATCTCATCAGTCAAGGAGCTGAGGTGAATAAGAGAGATAATACAGATTTGACTGGATTACACAGTGCTTCGAAGAATGGTCATCTTGATGTCACCAAATATCTTATCAGTCAAGGAGCTGAGGTGAATAATCGAGATAATTTTGGTTTGACTGCATTATACTGTGCTTCTAAGAATGGTCATCTTAATGTCACCAAACATCTCATCAGTCAAGGAGCTGAGGTGAATAAAGGATGTTCTGATGGTCGTACTGCATTACACACTGCTGCTCACAATGGTCATCTTGATGTCACCAAATATCTTATCAGTCAAGGAGCTGAGGTGAATAAGGGAGATAATTACGGTTTGACTGCATTATACTGTGCTGATCATAATGGTCATCGTAATGTCACCAATTATCTCATCAGTCAAGGAGCTGAGGTGCAGAAGGGAGATAATGAAGGCTGGGCTGCATTCCGATGTGCTGCTCAGGATGGTCATCTTGATGTCGTCAAATATCTCATCGGTCAAGGAGTACAGGTGAATAGTGGAGATAAAGACGGTTGGACTGCATTGCACAGTGCTGCTCAGAATGGTCATCTTCGTGTCACTATATATCTCATCTTTAAAGGGGCTGAAGTGAATAAGGGAGATAATACAGGTTTGACTGCATTACACAGTGCTTCTAAGAATCGTCATATTCGTGTCACCAGGTATCTCATCAGTAAAGGAGCTAAGGTGAATAAGGGAGATAATACAGGTTTGACTGCATTACACAGTGCTGCTAAGAATGGTCATCGTTATGTCACCAAATATCTCATCAGTCAAGGAGCTGAGGTGAATAAGGGAGATAATACAGGTTTGACTGCATTACACAGTGCTGCTAAGAATGGTCATCTTGATGTCACCAAATATCTCATCAGTCAAGGAGCTGAAGTGAATAAGGGAGATAATACAGGTTTGACTGCATTACACAGTGCTGCAAAGAATGGTCATCTTGATGTCACCAACTATCTCCGCAGTCAAGGAGCTGAGGTGAATAAGGGAGATAATACAGGTTTGACTGCATTACACAGTGCTGCTAAGAATGGTCATCTTGATGTCACCAAATATCTCATCAGTCAAGAAGCTGAAGTGAATAAGGGAGATAATACAGGTTTGACTGCATTACACAGTGCTGCTAAGAATGGTCATCTTGATGTCACCAAATATCTCATCAGTCAAGGAGCTGAAGTGAATAAGGGAGATAATACAGGTTTGACTGCATTACACAGTGCTGCTCAGAATGGTCATCTTCGTGTCACTATATATCTCATCTTTAAAGGGGCTGAAGTGAATAAGGGAGATAATACAGGTTTGACTGCATTACACAGTGCTTCTAAGAATCGGCATATTCGTGTCACCAGGTATCTCATCAGTAAAGGAGCTGAGGTGAATAAGGGAGATAATACAGGTTTGACTGCATTACACAGTGCTGCTAAGAATGGTCATCTTTATGTCACCAAATATCTCATCAGTCAAGGAGCTGAAGTGAATAGGGGAGATAACGACGGTTGGACTGCATTACACAGTGCTGCTAAGAATGGTCATCTTGATGTCACCAACTATCTCCGCAGTCAAGGAGCTGAGGTGAATAAGGGAGATAATACAGGTTTGACTGCATTACACAGTGCTGCTAAGAATGGTCATCTTGATGTCACCAAATATCTCATCAGTGAAGGAGCTGAAGTGAATAAGGGAGATAATACAGGTTTGACTGCATTACACAGTGCTTCTCAGAATGGTCATCTTGATGTCACCAGCTATCTCATCGGTCAAGGAGCTGAGGTGAATATGGGAGATAATGACGGTTGGACTGCATTATACATTGCTTCTAAGAATGGTCATTGTGATGTCACCAAATATCTCATCAGTCAAGGAGCTGAGGTGAATAAGGAAGATAATTACGGTTTGACTGCATTATGCAGTGCTGCGCATAGTGGTCATCTTTCTGTCACAAAATGTCTCATCAGTCAGGGAGCTGACGTGAGTAAAGGAGATGATGAAGGCTGGCCTGCATTACACAGAGCTGCTCAGGAAGGTCATCTTGATGTCACCAACTACCTCATCAGTCATGGAGCTGAGGTGAATAAAGGAGATAATTGCGGTCGAACTGCATTACAAAGCGCTGTTTATTATGGTCATCTTGATGTCACCAAATATCTCATCAGTCAGGGAGCCAAGGTGAATAATGGGGATAACAAAGGCTGGACTGCATTACACAGAGCTGCTCAGGAAGGTCATCTTGATGTCACCAAATATCTCCTCAGTCAAGGAGCTGAGGTGAATTGGGGAGATAATAGAGGTTCTACTGCATTACAGAGTGCTGCTCATAATGGTCAACTTGATGTCACCAAATATCTCATCAGTCAAGGAGCTGAGGTGAATTAGGAAGATAATTACGGTTGGACTGCATTACGCAGTGCTGCTTATAGTGGTCACCTTTATGTTACCAAATGTCTTATAAGTCAAGGAGCTGAGGTGAATAATGGAGATAATGAAGGCTGGACTGCATTACACAGAGCTGCTCAGGAAGGTCATCTTGATGTCACCAAGTATCTCATCGATCAAGGAGCCGAGGTGAGTAGGGGAGATAATGAAGGTTTGACTGCATTCCGCTGTGCTTCTCATTATGGTCATCTTGATGTCGCCGAATATCTCATTGGTCAAGGAGCTGAGGTGAATAAGGGAGATAATAAAAGTCAGACCGCATTACACAGAGCTGCCCAGGAAGGTCACCTTGATGTCACCAAGTATCTCATCAATCAAGGAGCTGAGATGAGTAGGGGAGATAATGAAGGTTTGCCTGCATTCAGCTCTGCTGCTCATTATGATCATCTTGATGTCGCCGAATATCTCATCGGTCAAGGAGCTGTGTTGAATAAGGAAGAAAATGAAGATCTGACTGCATTACGCTGTGCCGCTCATTATGGTCACTCTGATGTCACCAAATATCTCATCAGTCAAGGAGCTTTGGTGAATAAGGAAGAAAATGAAGGTCTGACTGCATTACGCTGTGCCGCTCATTATGGTCATCTTGACGTTACCAAATATCTCATCGGCCAAGGAGCTGAGGTGAATAACGGAGATAATGACGGTTGTACTGCATTACACAGTGCTTCAAAGAATGGTCATCTTGACGTTACCAAATATCTCATCGGCCAAGGAGCTGAGGTGAATAACGGAGATAATGACGGTTGGACTGCATTACACAGTGCTTCAAAGAATGGTCATCTTGACGTTACCAAATATCTCATCGGCCAAGGAGCTGAGGTGAATAGGGGAGATGATAAAGGTCGGACTGCATTCCACAGTGCTGCTCATTATGGTCTTCTTGGTGTCACCAAATATCTCATCAGTCAAGGAGCTGAGGTGAATAGGGGAGATAACGACGGTTGGACTGCATTACATCTTGCTTCTCAGAATGGCCATTTAGAAGTCACCAACTATCTCATTGACCAAGGAGCTGAAGTGAATAAGGAAGATAATGATGGAAGGACGCCTTTACACTATGCCGTTCAGAATTGTTACATTACTGTAGTTAAAGTCCTTCTGGCAAAAGGAGCACGTTCTGAAACAGGAGACATTCAGGGACACATACCTTCTCAACTGTCTTCATTCATCGGGTACCAAAGCATCGACAGTTCAAATTCCGAGGTAACAAATTTAAGACACACTTAATATCGAAATCATCTACTATTAGTCATTTAATACATGCACTTAGAAGAACGGACAAGTACTGAAATTCAATTAAGTGAATAATATGCATAGGCTACCTATCATTATTTTTTTCAGACTTGACCAACTCGGTTTTGTATCACCAATATTACTATAACACCAGTTAGACTTAAAGGCTGTTTTTATGTAGTATATATACAAGTTACAATGTTTGTTTAAAACGTATTCGACTTATTGGATTTAGTTAATCACATGGCAGTACTTGTGTTCACAGCAATTTGGTTTTCCTTGCATTAAAAAAATTAAATCTCTAGTTTTTATGCGTTTATATTCTTATATCCTGCTCGCCCAGAATGATATAACTGATATCCATCTTGCCATACAACACGGTCGCACCTCCATCATTGAGAAGTTAGTTTCTGAGGGAGCTGATCTCAATGTCCAGTCAAGTGACGGCCAGACGTGTCTGCATAAAGCCATTAAACTCTGCTATAAGAGCGTGACAATTGTGCAAGAAACTGACACACTAAGAAAGGTGAGTCATACCCAAGTAACCAGACGAGACCGACTACAGACCGACGAGAGTCTGAAAAACAAATTAACATTACGGCAAACTTTACGGCGGTGTTGCTGGCATATACGGCTGCTGAATCCAAAATGAATCCAAAAATATAGTACCTGTGATTGGCCCAAGTAATATGTATGTTCGTGTGTAGGCGACCGTTTGTATGTGTTGGGAAGTTTAGAACGAAAATAGGGATTTCCACTACAGCAGCTGCGATTCCAAGATGCAGCGTTAAACTATTCGTATAATGCTCATCCACCCTTACTATTGATGGACGGTTACATGTCGTTTTTCCGAAGGTTCGTATTTCCGAAGGTTCATAATTCCGAAGGTCCATAACTCCGAAGGTTCGTAATTCCGAAGGCTCGTTACTCCGCAGGTCCGTTATTTAGAAGGTTCGGATTTCCGAAAATGAAATAGGGTTCGTAATTCCGAAAATGAAAAGGGTTCGTAATTCCGAAAGTGAAAAAGGGTTCATAATTCCGAAAATGAAATAGGGTTCGCAATTCCGAAAATGAAATAGGGTTCGCAATTACGAAAATGAAATAAGGTTCGTAGGAAATGAAAGAAGAATAAAAACAAAGAATAGCCTAACATAAAGAAAGATAGAAGGAGAAGTCATCTCGATCCTCCCTTCTATCCTTTTTAGGTACCTTATATCATTTTCGGAATTATGAACCCTATTTTATTTTAGGAATTATGAGCCGTATTTTAGTTTCGGAATTATGAACCCTATTACATTTTCGGAATGATGAACCCTTTTTCATTTTCGGAAAGTTAATACGAACCTTCGGAATTATGAACCCTTTTTCATTTTTGGAATTATGAACCGCTAGGCATGGGAAATTTGTGTTTCGGAATTACGAACCTTCGGAAATACGAACCTTCAGAAAAACGAACCTTCGGAAAAACGAGTGCCCCCTCTGATGGACGATACTGTTATAATAAAAATAATTATATACGTCTGTATGTTTCAGATCTCTGATGAGAATTACAAGGGCGAACTGTCTCCTGAGAAGGCCTTAGTGTTTTATCTTCTAGAGAATGGAGCCAGGTTAGATGTAAAGGATGATACAGGCAACCTACCAATCCAGTATGCCAAGGACGAAGTGATCAAACAAATGATTTTGTCCAGGTGATTTTTTGTTCAGGTCTAGGAAATAGATCGGCCATGATAATTGTAAGACAAGGAAATGCGTGTTTCCATTTTGCTCTTTTGAGACATATTTGAAACAGAAAAGTTCAGTAAGTGTTATTGCAAATCTTTACAGTTGATCATATAGTATATGTGTTGTTCGGACAATAAAATTTAATATGCGACAACTTTGACAATAATATGTTCGGGGCTGTAAGTCAGGGCCCCCTGGCAAACAGTGCTTTGATTACTGACGGGGCTACCCTGTTTAAATAAAACGGAATGAATACATGAATACATAGGAATAAGTCAAGCCTGCTACGTTGACTAATTCATCTTTGTTTTCCTTCTACTTTTCTACTCAGATAGACAGTATATATTTTATACCAAATTCGTTTAGAGGATATTATTCAGTAGCGTAGGCAGAATTTTTTTGAGGGGGCGGTTTTAAAATTTGAAAACCGCGCCGAAAATTTCGCAACGACTCAGCCAGCTGCTGAATAAGCGGGGGGGGGGGGGGGGGGGGGGGGTAAGAGCACATTTTTAATTTTGTTTTGGCCCCGGAAATTGGCACATTACGTCGTCAGATATTTCGTTCAGTGGCTTGGGGGGGAGGAACACTTCTCCCTTTTTTCAACGCCTTCAGCACAATTTCTTTTTTGTTTACAATTAACCCCCCCCCCCCTCTTTGCGTACGCGCCTGATATTATCTAACTGTGGTTCGTTGAAAGTTTGATATTTGTTTGTATTGTATTTACGGCATTACCAGTTGCAAAGGTAGAGCCTCATTTTTTTTCTCAAATAATAGGCCTCGATAATGGGTCTGACATTCAACAGTTTTTTGCTAATATCATGTATGATGTTACAATTTTTATGAGTTGAAACAAATTCATGTTTTCTCAGCCCATAGAAATGATTAGTTTACGTATGATTAATTTCAGATTACCTTCTTTAGAGGAGATCCAGTCTTTCCGAGGTAAGAACATCCTTCAAACACAAACAGCTTTTCTTAGTATAATAGCTAATTAAGTGATTCTGATATTTTTTCTTCTCAATCATTAAGTCACTGATTAATGTCTAGCGATGATTAAACATGGCATTTCAGGTTTTCTATCACGAAGAACAAGGGATTTTATGATTCATTGTCTGGGTATTTTACTTAATCGCACACACAATACCCACTATCCCTTACGAACACTTCAATCGTATTCATGTATGTAGAAACACTTCTTAGGTTAACATCAATGAACCAAATACGAGAGGTATTACAAATGGGGAATGTGCCCAAAATGAAAGAAATAGGAAAAACAGATACATATATATAAATAAGTCCTATGAATAAAAACATTATTGGTTTGGCATTTGCCCTCATTAAAGTATTAGAAACCAATATTGATTATCAGAGTTTGGGTAATTAACATTACCTTTTCAAATGGTAATAAAATAAAATAAATATTATGGACAATATCGAAATGAAACTATATTAATATGTTTAACTTATTAGGTTTTCAGTCCCATAATTGTCCCGATATGCAATTTGTTGTTGATATATATGTTTTTATATTTTTTTTATTATTTTGTCAATTACTTTTCTTTGAAATAAATAACAGATGAACCATCAACACCTGCCATTGTCTCTGTCTCTGTTGAAAGAAATACAAGTAAGGACATCGAACTAGAAGACCATGGCGTATCATTGTTTATTCCTCCGGAGGCTGTTCGTCAGAATGACCCGTGCAAGATCACCCTGACCCTTTTAAGGGACGCTCCCCCAGTTGACATCCAAGATGACGAATCAGTGGCCAGCTACGGGATCAGATGTGATCCTCCAAACATGATCTTCCAACAACCTGTTAAGATCAGAATACCACACTCTACCTTGGCCATCAACCCTGACCAAGTGAAACCAGACATCGTTTCCCATGTATGGGATTCAGTTAACAGTAAGTCTATCTGGTCAGATGGAGTAAACGAAAATTGATGCCCTGAGATCTCTTTCAGCAAACCAGGCAAAGCCCTTTCGGGACAACACTTAGGAGTCGCGATACGGCTAAGTGGTAGACATTAGTTCGAATTAGTCGATGTGCTAGAATAAGTGCGCTTTCGAAAGTCATTAATTACCAAGTGGACCTTAGAGAACTAAGAATGTTTGTTCTCCTTGTTTAAAAAACAAACAAGTATACTGCTTTCCTAGCAGTCGGGTAAAATAGAAAAGCAAAATAAAACAATAATAAACATATTCTCAGTATACTATGGCCTGTTTTGTTCTACATTTTTACTGCAGGTAATAGAAAGCAAAATAGACTATATGATATATAATTTCGGGTTAGAAGTTCCAGTTCTAGGTACCGTAGTCATCACAGTACCTTAACGTCATGAGGAACAATAATTGTTTATAACTCCCATTTTTCTGTTGAAATTTTCCATAAAGGGAAACGGGTGAAAGGGGAGAATTGGTGCTTTTAGGATGGATTATCAAAATCATAACCATTTGAAGTAATTATTATCAACAAGGACACCATCAATGATACAAATATGTGGTGTCACCATATTCAGGACAACAGTTTAGTTGACAAATTGGCTCCATTGGGGAATAACACATCTTTAAAAAAAAGTATTTTGTTTTGTTACCCACTGGCAATAGATCTACCCAAAACGTCAAGAATGAGATCATCCGGCTCACCGGACGAACCACCATACTGCAGAGTGTACAAGGGACATCTTGAGCTGTACATTGGTTACTGTGCTGAGTGGTGGGTTCTTATTCCTCTTGAACAGCAGGTGATCCGCCACCAACTTATGTGCACTCCATACATCCCAGAAACCGTAGAAATAGGCAAAGAGATTGAAGTTCATCTTCATGTGCATGCCGATGTTCCTGGCATGGATGCGGTTAGTACTGTTAACGTGTTCTACTAGTAAATTGTGGATTTACATTCCTGTTAGACTGTCAACTACTTCAACTTTCCGTAAGATTATAGGGTCGTTGTTTAAAATCCGACTTTCTGGTGTTATTATTTGCAAGGCCTTTAAAAGTGTGAATTAAATTGCTGTACGCCATTAAAAAATGTATTTAGACATAATTTCATTAAAACTATACTCCGAGCATGGCCTGTATGTCAAAGCTCTACAATGCTGGTAAACAAGCTGAATTTTCTCGGATATAACCTGGATAAAGGACGGAATTAGACCCCGTTTTCACTCATTTCTAGATCGATCTAGGCTAGACCAGAGGTTCGCTTCGTTTCATGTTAACACTCCCGAGCTAAACCGCTCTTGTTGC